AAGCTCTGGCGGACTTGGTTCTATGGTAGGTCTTAAAGGGTTAAATTCACATAAGCAATGTATTATAGTAGTGACATTATAGTGTTGGTAAGATCAATAACTGAATAAAACAGTTTATTCAGTTGTATTTGCCCATGTTTCTGTCATTTGTCTCAGTGACACTGCACAGTATTGTTTGCATCAAGGTCTAGCTCAGCCTTTAACTGACCTGGCTTCTATGTGCTCTGTCCATTTTGATATCTGGCCATAACAGCTTGTGTCAACAGGAGCTTTACTTCAGGAAATCAAATTTTAGTTTTAGATTATTTTATTTCATTTTGAAGGAGAATTGGCCAACCATGAAAAAAAAACTTGTAAGTGGTCTTTGCAAGGTCGGGGTGACATGAGGTGTTACTGTCTACCTGCTAACATTTTGAACCTCCGCAGATGATTTTCACCCAGTCATTTCAGCTCTTTGTCATTCCCACAAACCTCTTGTTGTTCATTAGTCATCACTGCATAGAGCCCAATTTTAAATGCGACTCTACTGAGTCTTCAAATCGATATGCTTGTGCTTTGAGTAAAAAAGTATGCCATTGTCCTATTTAATGGTATTTACCCTAAAGAGCTTTGTTGGACTCTATATAGGCACTTTTAGCTTTGTGACACTAGACTTGTTTGTGTCCTACAGTTTAATTTCCTTTCTGTACTCCATGTCACCATGGCAATGTTGAGTCAGTGTCCCCTGCTACAGCCTCTCTGACCATTGAACCGCAAATTAATGGTGAATAATGGCTCAATTCCCCATCAATGCTGCCAGGACAAACAGGTCAAAGCAGCAGGATATGTCCCATCTGAGAAAAAGGTTTTTCACTGTCAACCTGGGCTTTTGCTCACGCAGAGAGCATCCTTTAAATTTACAATGAGTCTGTGAATTCTTCACAGCTTCTGAGACAGCACCTATGAATCATAAATAATTTACAGTCATGGATTTCTGGTACTGTGTATTTATTTATTTTTATTTTTTTGCGGGTAGTGTAGGAAAAGTAATTCAAAGGTTATCCCTTGGCTTGTGTTCTTATTTCCATGTGTCACAAGAATGCTAAATGGTCTGTAAGTTAAGCAGTTGTTTAGTCATGCGTGCACGATAGCTATTACTATAGACTATATTTACTATACTGAATCATTGTAAGATAACATGCTGCAGTTAGACATATGAGAAATATGGCTATATAGGCAAATGTTCTTTGTGTCGATGCAATTTAGTTTATAAGGTTGTTACAGATGTGCAAAACATGAGATCCATTGTCATTAGGCTTGACCCCTTAAATTCAACTGAAAACTGATCTGTCAGTTTTACTTCTCACTACTTCATATATTATAAAGAATATTGGTTTAAGAAAGGAAGTCATTACACTTAGATTTTCACCCTTCTATTATTAACTAGTTGGTTGCATCTGAATTTCTCAAATGTGGCCCTTGCAATTGAGGCATGCAGTTCTTTTGTGGAACTGATTTTGTGTGGATGCAATATTGACTTTTATTAGCTGTAAACTGAAACATTATTGATTTCTCTTTTTCTTTCTCTTGTAGACCTAGAGAACAATGTTGCCCTTTTTAAGTCACCAGACAATAAAGATGATCCAGACAGCAATAGTCCTTGTGTGTAATGCATTAGTTGATTTGACAGTCTATACTGATAATATCAATGCAAAAGGGGCAACAATGGCAATTTTTTTATGTATGTTTAAATCAGAGCATTCCCTTCAGTCACGTTTGCTTTGCCAGACATGTTGAGTGCCGATCCAACACTTTTTAAGCCAATTCCATTTTTCATGCTACAAAAAGATAATCTTGACAAGAGTTTTAATTTACAGCTGATTCCCCCTGCCTGTAGCAGAGCTTTTGTCAGAGTTTTTATAAGAGTATGTAAATTTGCACGTGCATGTGCATACAGTCATTTATGGCATGCACACATACTTGTGTGTGTGTGTGAATATGTTTGCGTGCCCACATTTGAATGTAGGCATGGCTTTGTAGGAAAATGCATCTGCAATTTTGTTTGATGAGAGAATGAGGTAGAAAGGCAGCAGACGTGATGTTGTGTGAAGAGATGGGAGTATGCAGACAGATAGTGTCATTCCCTCAGTATCACCATTAAATCTTAATCTTCTGGCCCCTCATGGGAGGAGCCAGCCATGCATGGGACTGTGTTTTGCATCTAAATCAAGATGTCTTGTTTTTTCAGAATACTTCATTGAGACAAAGTTTGATGTGTCTGTTTTCAACTTCTCATACATCTGGATTCAGCAGCTGATCATCCAGCTGTTGTTGTTTATGCTAAAGTCTTGTTAAATGCAATTGCCTCATAAACTGTAACATCTGTAATCAATTATAAAGAAAGAGGGAAACTAAAACTCCAGAGCAGAGTACTAAAGTTTTTATTCCTGATTGGTTTCAGCACGTTGCATCATGTGGGCTCAGTACTTGTGGCACTTGATTCCACAAGCTAAAAGTAGACAATTATATATTAGATTCAGAACATCCTTTCTTTCTAATAGTGGCTTAATGCCACCTTCATCATATTTCCACGTTGATCAGTTTCGGTGGTGTACCAGAACAAACGTTGCTCATTAGACTAGTATTGTCTCGACTATTAATCATTCCAGCTTTTGTAGTAACATTCTTTCTGCTTATTCTAAACTTTGGATGAACTAACTTCACACTTTCAAATTTCTGCTCCTTTAAAAAGCTACAAGAATATTACATAGAAAATCAGTGTGGAAATCACAGAAGAGACAGGAAAACACAGTCTGTAACATCATTATCATTAACATCAGATATAGTTCATGTCATCAATACATTGTAATATTGGATTGAGGTAAATGCTTAAGTGGCTCATGAGATTTATTAGGCATTCACTTTAAGAAAAGCAAATTATTAGCAATACTTTGAGAATTGCAGTTATTTTGTTTTTATGTATATGTCCTTTTTGTCCTTGAAATTGTGCCTATGGCTGTGGATTTGAAGGGTTTGTACTGCATATAACCTTTGCATAAGCCTATGAACATTCCCAAGGTGGGTGATTGTGACTAATTCCTTTCTGTCATAAAAAGGAGATTTTAAATGCAGCAACTAGCCTTTATTATAAAGGGTACTGTTTCCACACATCTCAGCAGGAAGTGGCTTATAGGTCTTCATTACCTCCCTTTAGGACCATCTTCTCATTTAGGATAAGAAGTTAGCCTTAGTTGGGACATGCATTTCAGGATGTCTTCAGTGTTACTCTTAAACATACTTACCTGCCACATTTCCAGGTGACAGGAGAACTCGGATGAGAATGTTGTGACGTCATACTTTTGCGACTTCGGGAAAAAGCGGCGTAAAACAAAAAACTGTTCTAAAGCTGCGTGAAACCGCCTCTGTCCGCCGATCAACGGACCCTGACCCTAACTCTAACCCTAACCGTAACCCTTTAATAAACAGTAAGCAGAATTGATATTGTCCTTGCAACATTGGAATTTCATAAATGCACGAATGGCTTGGCGCACAAAAGAATAACGTCACAACAATGTGATTGGTCACTTGCAATGTTAAACCTGGAACAACATTTTCATGATGGTCTGGGAACAACACCAACACGAGGATATCAGATCAACCGGAGAACTCTGGTGGAGCTTTTATATTCAAGT